TATTAAGAATTATTCTGTTTAAAGGTAATAAGTAAGGTTAATATTGCAAATCAATTATTCAATAGTTTTGTGATCATTACACCTTATATATATCTCGATATCTGATTATAACTGTGAGCATTACATTTGTTAATATAAGGTCAATATATCCTTATTGTGTTCTTCGAAGTGCACAAGGCACATTACTGAACATATTATAATTCAAATAATACATTAAACTGCAATTACATTTGATAACTGAAATTATTGTTTGTCTAACTCTAATAAAGTTTAGTCAACTCAATTGATCGCTGTGTTTACTCTAACAATTTAACAAGACAGATAGAATTTTAAGTCTCGCTTAAAGTCAAAGTGACATTGGTGCAACTGAGCCTTAATCACTTAAATTTTAATAGGAACGCAAATTTTCATAATTGTCGACTGTCTTTAATAGTATCGTCGATGCTATAGACGATAAATACAGAATAACAGGTCAAACATATTAGTTAAGTTCAATTAAATGAGCATGGTTGTGATTAAAAGTAACATTCTTTAACAAACCTCGTGTAAATGTTATACTGCCAGCATTAGATAATGACGAAAACATGAAGGATAACATCAAATACGTGTTTTTCTGTAATTTGTAATTCGCAATTGTGTTGGCTATTGCAACTCATTTGAAGTTAGCGGTTGGCTATTACATATGGCAGATTTCGGCAATTAATCAAAAGTTGCGACCACATTGTCTTAACTCTTATTATAGGAACACTAACGGAGCGAAGGCAAAAAAAAAAAAACATTAATATCTCACGCAACCTACAATACACGCAGTCGCACGTTCGTGTCAATTTCGTACAAATTTGTCGCGATAAGCGTCTAAGGCCCGGTTGCATCAACGTTATTTTAATTTTAAGCGAGGCTTAAAACTCTTTCTGTTTCTTTTTGGCTTTAAAACGAGACAGATAGAGTTTTAAGTCTCGCTTAAAATCAAAGTAACGTTGGCGCAATCAGATCTAAGTCTAAGAGCTCAACGTTATTTGTTCGTGCAAACTTCATTACTACTGCAGAGACTATAGACACCAACGAGATACTATTAAAGCCCGTCGGCCCTGGGCAAATTTTCGTGACTATTAATGGGGCTATTAATCAGGAGGCCCAGGGATAAAACTCATATTTGTGGATTACTATTTCGTAAGTATAGATTGCAAAACTTTCGTCTCAAATATTGTCATGACTTGACAGCTTGAGACGCCAGGTTACATTAACTCTTAAATGCCACACGTCAAAAAAATTACGTAAATGCTATACGAAGTTAATTGGACCTCAGCGTGAAAAAGTTCCAATTTCCACTAGACGTATCAATATCGAGCAAAAATATCGACTATGAACATATTTAGATATTTTAAAACTATTTATATTCATTTCGAATGAATAGGCAATATATTGCACAGCGAATAGATTAAATATAAATTAATTCCTAAAGACTCCTTCGTTGGATATAACAGAGCAATAGGAGTCATGCACGGCAATTCTTGTACAAACCAATACGGTTAACAAAACAATTTTATTAATAATTAATCCGCTTACATGTTTCGGCTCACTTTTGAGCCATCCTTAGAGACAATATGATGTTGTAATTACAAAAATTTTTTTTACAAACTAATTCATTTCAGTGAGTCATCTCCACCTATTAACGGAAACTATAATATAAAAACGAACTCTAATAACAATAATGTAAAATGTTTTACAATAATGTAAAATTATTAAAAGATAAATTTGTTGAAAGCAAAAACGATTTATTGTAAAATAATGGAAGGTAACTCACTAAAACAAAAATTCACCATACCGCAAACACTTAAATTCTATCGGTTTAGTCAAAAACCATTCAGCGAATCAGTGTCAATTATGTTGAAATTAATGAATAACTTTTAATACATCTAAAATGTTAATCGCAAAGAAAAGGAAAAAAGAAAGGAAAAAAAAACTCTGATATTAATTATAGTCCAGACGGACATTAAAACCAAAATTGAATCTTAATAATTTAATCTTAATGTAACAAAGTATGTACACTGATTAGCTGGCAACAACGCTCCGGTATTTATAGTTCGTCTACAATTGGAAAGTAGACCTTGAGAAGCCCCTCCAAATCTGTCTGCAGGTTGAGACCACGTGTTTGTCTTCTGATGTGCAGCATCTCTGACACCAATCTCTTTCTGTACTAGGGTTCCTCATCTAAAATTGCAATATTTTTCCAATGGAATTCGTGATCCTCTTCCAATCGGTGGTTTGTTATGATGAATATGTGGTTGTGTTCCACTGAATATGATTCCTGTGCTCAGCTATTCTCGTCTCCAGCTGTCTTCCTGTTTGTCCCACGTAGCTCGCATCACAATCTTTGCAACAGATCTTGTACACCACATTAGATTTCTTTTCGTGCGGAAGGAGATCCTTATATACCTTGATGAAGCCACGCAACTTATTAACACTATAAAATGATATTCTAATATCCTTGCTGTTTAATCTATTGAATATCTCGGGAAACATCGGAACGTAAGGAACAATAAACCCCGCGCTTTCGATATTATCATTATCCCGTTTCTTTCTTTTAAAATTAATAATGTTTTTTAATCGTTTACTAATATTATACTATCAAAAATGAATTTTCTCTAACGGATAATCATTCTCTAACAAGATTTTATCGTTTATTAATATCAACGATCGTTTCAATATAACGCACGATCGCATGATATAACGATCGTTTCTTATCACAATTCACTATATTTTATTTCGCGTACTCTGTGCGAGTAACTGAATGGTTCGCTACGATAGTAGCATACTTGAGACGAAAAATTTCGATTTCTCTAACGGAAAGCATTTGTTAATGTAAATAGCGCTTTAGTTAGTGAGAACAGGCTACATATTGTTCTAACTGAAACTCAACTAACTGAATATCTCTGCAGCCGAAATTTTTTTTCCGTGCGGACTTGACTCTTATTGCCCTGTTATATCCAACTATTTAGAATAGATTAAAAAAAACTCTTAATTTTTTTAAAAACTTAAAGTAATTAAGATCTGTGACATTTGATCATTTGATGTAGGGAAGGCTTCGTTTATTTATAGTCCCAATCAGTATTATAAACAATAAATGTGAACTCCTTTTATGTCTCAATAACTAATTACTAACCTTTAAATATTAACTCAAAAATCTAAAATAAAAACAAAAATTAAGAAATGTAATTGCTAAAAAATGTATTTAATGATTATTTTTTTTAATAAATTTGAGATTACTTATTGAGCGCTCCTGCATCTAATTGGCATATTTCGTTGGATCTAAAAGTACAAATCAACCAAACAAATGTAAAAGTTCACTGAGCGCTCAGTCAGGTTTAGCGTAGTATCGATCTATCAACTACCGAATGTACTCAAAATTCCCTAAAAATATTCATAAAAATAAAGAGTGAATATGAATAATAAAAAAATATCTAGTCAATATTTTATTCATAATTTTTTATTTGATATTTTTATATTTAGCAGCAAAAAAATATCGAATATTTGATATTATCGAATAACGATAAGTATCTCTAGTTTCTACGTAATATCATTATTCATATATAAAAGTTTTTGGCAATTAAAGCAAAATAAGTCATTCATATACAAAAGTTTTTCGTAATTAAAGTAAAACAACTCACATAACATCAAAGTGACATTAAACTGAATTGTGATTAATAAAAAAAAATTATCCGCAACAAAATCGGTGCTGTATGTGAGGATTAAACTATACGCTATACTATTTAATATATGTTTGTGAAGTGGAGTTTATGCTGAGAACGACAAAAAATTTCGAAATTGATATATTTTTTATCATTTCTTAGTGTAATATGGCGTCTCAAACTGTCAAGTCGTGACAACATTTGCTTGATACGAAAGTTTTGCAACCTGTACTTACGAAGTAGTAATCCACAAACACGTACTTTGCACGAACAAATAACATCGAGCTCTTAGAATTAGACTTAGGCCTGGTTGCACCAACGTTATTTTGATTTTAAATAAGATTTAAAATGTTAAAACCGAAAAGAGACAGGAACAAAGAAAGTTTTAAGCCTTGCTTAAAATTAAAGTAACGTTGGTGCACCCGAGCCTTAAACGCTTATCGCGACAAATTTGTTATACGAAAATTGATACAAACGTGCGACTTCGTATATCATAGGTTGCGTGAGATATTGATGTGATAGTATATAAAAATATGTCGCGCTGACAGTAATGGTATATGGCAGGGAAATCCCTTTTTCGAAGGAATTTTTTGTCGTGAAAAGAGAGAGGAATTTTTTTGTCTTTTGAGAGGCAATTTCTCTAATTTGCACTTCTTTGCACGGTTGGCAGCAAGTAATGATCTGCGTGCGATTGATTTTGTTCAATTGTTATGCAATTTATAATTTGCATATTGATTGACATAATCAAGTGTTTATTTTGTTGTGTAGATATTTATTTATGATCTCAAATGCGAAATAAATAAAGAAAAATATGTATGCAATGTGTTGAGAAAAATGTGATATAAATATAAATAAAAGTTAAATACAAAAGTGTGAAAGTTTATTGTGCTTGAATTCTGTCTTGTATTTGTTATTGCAGCATTATTGAAATAGCTGTTTTTTTGCTGTCATTTTAATGCATAAATTTTTTTTTTGGTCATCGATGATACGTCGAAGGGAAATTTGAAGGTGGGAAATTTTTTCATCGCTAGAGGAAGAAACCGTTTGTTCGATATACCATCATTGTGCGCTGGAAAAACAGCGACTTCTGGTGACTTCGTCGGAGTTCGAGCTTTACTTTAGGATCCCCTTAAAGGTTTAGGACGCTCGTATGGAATGCTAGAGTTTCGGATTCGACTCCCGATCGAAATAATATTTTTGCAATAAATTTATTTACAGATATTCAGTATAATTATTAGACAAATAACATTATTTTGTTTGCTGGGAAACAATATGTATATATACATATACACATCTTTTAAATTAAGTTATTTACAAAGTTTTCAAAATATATTCCTTCCTTTGTTGATCCAGTAATTTTTCCAAATGTTCACATCTTGAATTAACGTCATCCAGTTTTTTATTGAGATTCTTTATGATTAAAACCTTTTGAGTAATTACAAATTTTATCCTAAAATAAAACGTTATATTTATAAGATCTAATATATCGTACATTATGACATATACTCATCCACAAAAAACTAGTTATTATAACATTACAGTGACTGGTTTTTTGCAGATTAGTATATTAATTTATAGTATCGATTAATGTATTAATTTCTTATTATTGCACTGTTAGATATTAATTTTTACCTGCTATGTAATTGTGCCATAAGTTGATCTCTGTTAACATTATTTTGTCTTATTTCTTGATAAAGCGATGCGATTTTATCTTTTAACTCTTTTTTCTCTGTTTCAATTTCCAGTCTTGCTGTCTCCTTTGCATCGTCTCTCTCTGCAGTTAACTTTACGATTATCTATAAATTAACAAATCACCAATTTAACGACAATTATTATACCTAACTAATCAATTATTTTCATAAAATTTACTTTATTCGTATTATTGAGATTCAATATGCATTCTTTTAATTTATTTTCTGTTTTTTTAAACTGAATTTCTGTACATTTGAGTCTTTCTTCCAATAATAATAACTTATTTTTATAAATGTCCTCGCTTTTAATTGCAGCTTGCAATTTTGCGTCATAATCTTCATTCATTAACCTGAAAACAATTTCAATAATTAAATTGTGACAATTTTCTTTATATTTCTATATTTAGAGAAAAGATATGTAAACTTACTCCAATTTATTATCAAAACTTTGCTGCAACTTGGCTCGCATTTCACGAGATTCTTTTTCCAATCTAACTATAACGATTTCTATTTGCTTGTCTCTTTCCTTTTGACAATCGTTACGAATTGCAGCCTGCGCTCTTGTGACAATCACGCTTTGTTCTTTTTTATAATTATCCGCCCACGCGAGCCATTCTTTTCTCAAAGTTTCCTCGAAATTCCTCTTAGCAATTTCGTGTTGTTCTTTTAATTTTTCCGTTTCTTTCTGCAAAGAAAAATCCAATGATTGTATAAATCACTATTAAATGATTAGATTTTTTAAAATCAATAATAGAATAATTTTATTGTAAAACGGACTTGAAAATGCAATTCCGTTCGTTGTATCATCTCGCTTGTTTCCCGATCACGTTTCTTTTGCTCTGCAATGAGCATCGATTTCTCTTCTTCGAAATGCTCTGTGAATGTTTTCTGTTGTATCTGAAAGTGCGCTTCTTGCTCTTCCAGATTTTCTTTATACCTAGTCAATTACAATTTATATAAAATTAACTAAAATGATATTAAAATCAATCAAGGCGGCAGAATTCCCATACCTTGTGGCCAATATGTTCTTCTCTTTAGCCAACATTTTCTCGTGGCTGTCCGTCAACTCGATTCGCAATTGCTCCAGCTGTTGATTCGACCTACGCATCGCGCGCAATTCCGTATCTTGTAACTCCTTTATATGCGCACGTCTTAATTCTTGTATCTCTTGTTGATGTTGTTCCATCATATTGTTCAATTCTGGTTCCAACCCTTTTACTGTCATTTCCTATTATATCAGTAATCAACGCATAAATTTTAATTATTTGTCACTGTATAATTTACATCATTACATTGTATAAAATTTTATTTGCACTGTCATTATCTATGGAATATCTTGCATAAAGAAATGGAAGAATTACATTTCTAATTTCAAAATCAAAAGCGAATCCTTGTGTGTGCGAATTATATTTGCTAATAATAATTCGTAATACGAATTAATGATAACCTTGATTTTCGATGTTTTCACCTCCAACCATTTTTCGCGCCGGATTTTCTCGGATGCTGCTATGTGTTCTTTTGCACGTTGCAACTCAACAGCGTGTCTCTCGGTAATTACTTTCAGATCTCGTTGGATCTTTTGTTCCATCTCTTTAATTTGTTGCGCCAGAGAGTCACATTTCTGCGTAAGATCTGTCTTCTCAGCGAGTAGCTGTTCGATAAACTTTTGATGGCGTTTCACGATCGTTCTGTACTTATTCTCCAACTCCTTCATCTTGATAATGTGATGACGTTTCTGCGATGTCATTTTGTCACACGCTGCCTTGCGCTCGGATTTTAGATGTCCTTTCAAACACTCTATTGTCGCATTTCTTTCCTCGATTTGTAATTTCGCAGTTTCTAAATCATTCCGTTGAATCGAACCAAAATTCTGTACATCATATCTATGAAAAAAACAGTTCTTATAAAATTTTTGTCTGCTTTTTAACGTGATATATTTCGCTTATAAGTTATTAGATAAAGTCAGTTCCCTACCTACTAGGATTTTGGCAAGATGAGACTATAATTGTTGCATTATTGGCAGTGATATCATTTTCTAGCGTATCTTCTACAATAAAGATATTACATAAAACTTAGCTTATCTTACAAAGCAAATAAGCAGAACTCTCAATTTTAAATACAATTTTAACGATACTGATCTATTAAACATTAGTACCATTTTCTAGCGTTCCCAGGAAGGACATTATGTCTTCGTAAGTTGTTGCGATTGATCCATATTTGTTTGTAGCGTCTTTCTCAGGTTCGATCTGCGCTTATTTAGTTATATTTGATTTTTAATAATAGAACAGAACTATTGTGTTTGTAAATAGCGATATATGATCCTTAAATAAATCAGAGATTTTATTCTTAAAAATTAACTTCCCGGCAAACACCAAACTAACAATAACATAACTGTTAATTATAGTTTCTCATTCAACAATATAATTATTACGTACATACATACAACATGTGTTATATTATAGTTATGTTGTTGAGTGGGAAATTATAACCAACAGTTATGTTACTATTAATTGGTGTTTGTTAAATTTAGAAAATTAAATTTTATTACTCACTTGTTCCGAATATTTGCACATTACTGACTCCAGATTGCTATCATATTTTACGTCGACGGCCAGTAAATCCAATGGATTACATTCCACGATTTCAATATTGCTATCTTTTGCCAATTTATTTATCATGTTGCACTGTTCGAACGGACGAGACGGTTCGATCAAATTTTGATTGAAATCGCACTTTTTGTCATGTAAATTCTTTGCTGCCATATTTGTTTGACGTATTACGTATGTTGTATGATTATAAAAAAATACATAAACGGAATAGTGAACTGGTCGACAAACTTATGTGCATTGACGTGTAGATACCGTAAACGCACTTATTTATATGTTGCCCAACGCATCGCCATGACGATGCGTGTATTGTAAACAAGGGTGAATTTTCTTACGTATCGGAGAAACACAAAATGCGCATATGCATAAATGCAAGTGAATTGCAATGAAGAAATGATTGTATGCTTAACACATCTAGGGCGTATCTAGGGAGGGGGGGTGAGGGGTCAAGCCCCTTTCCGAAATTTTTAAATTATTTCATTTTGAGAGGGTCCCGTTAATGCATTTCTGATAGCATATATCCACTCACATCGGTTGGTGTTTAATAATTTTTCACTACTTTACTAGTGAGAATATTTTATTTTGAATTGGCGATGTACATATTCTGTCGAACTCCTTTCTTTCATCAAATACGATAAAGAAAGCCAAGATCGATCAAAGTTGGATGTTTCAAATAATATATTATACATTCTTATATTAAATTAATTTATTTCAGATATATCCTTTCTTTTATTTTTAAATATAAAAAATACAACTTTACTTTCGAATTTGTGTGAGTTTTTTTTACATAAAATTTGTTTTCCTTCTCGTTATAAAATCATATACATAATTTTTAATACTTCTGTTAGTTTAACAATGAGCTTTGACAAAATATGCGAGAAATAGAAATAAAAAATTTTAGATAAGATTTTTGTTACGAAAAACAGAATATACATTATAATTGATACATTCTTGTAGTAACTGTATTATCCTTCTTTAAAAAAGTCTTTAAAAAAATAAATAAAAGTTACGTGATGTACAAAATATTTTTCCTCTTCAAAATGAGGTACGAGGAAACATTAAAAGTTGTAAAAATATTCAAACGGAATTCATTAATATTAAAAATTGTTGTAAATTACAATAACAAAATTGGTGCAGTGATTCTTTTCAGCACAATAGTAAAATTATTTTTTTTTTGTTGTTATTCCGATTGGTGCACGGTACATCTCCGGACTTAACACATCTTTTTACAATCAATTCTTTTAGACCAAGAGATCACTGTAGTGATTTTGTTACTCATAACGACAAGTATGGGAAGGGGGTAATCTTTAATATAACAACATAACATTTAAAAACAATACATATATATTTAAATCCGATCGCGATCGCTTGAAGGCAGGTGGGCTTTTTAAAATGTTGCAGATTTTGATTTTTTTATTGAAAACATTGAATGTTGTTATAATCGATAATTAATATCCTTATTCCAAAACAGGCAGACTCCCACACTCCCTTTAGAAGGGTGCAAGGAGTCGCCATACTGGATCAAAGTGGTAAATTTTTTCTGAAAAAAAATCGATGCCGACGAGATTGAATTTTTGTCTACTACTTAATTTTGATATTGATTATCGAGAAATATGATTCCCGTATTTCTCTTTTGGATGATCACAAAGGCAGCCATACCTACCCAAACACATACAATTTTGTCTCTATGTAAGTCCTTCTTCTGAGGGGTATAGGAGTCCGCCTATTTTAACTATCAATTGCAATAACATTCAACCTTGACGCTTTTAATAAAAAAATCAAAATCTGCAACATTTTTTTGAAAAGTGTATTTCCCTTGCAAGCGATCGTGACCAGGTTTAAATATATATGTATTGTTTTTATGTTTTACATGAAATAAAAGGTTACCCACTTCCCATATTTGTCGCTATGTGTAATAAAATCACTACAGAGTGGTCTCTTGGTTTATTTGTATTTGATTAAAATATGTACATTATTTCATATATTATTACTTTAGTTTTTAAATAATATGCTCTGAATATTAAACAAAAGATGATATTTATATCAGCCCTGATAAAAATTTTTCTTTAAATTCTTCATATAATTTTTCAGGGTTTCTATATAAATTTTAGTATTTTTCAAAATATGTAGATTTTTGGATTGTAGATTTGAAACTGAACATTTAAAAATATGCTGTGAAAATCTATATCTCTCTTAAAAATTTTTTTAACATGTTATATATGCGAATTCTGAAATTATATCTATGTATATTTTAAGATTTCTTATTCTATTATATTTCCAAAGAAAATTTATAAAATTTGAAAGTTTTTCAAATATCAAAAAGAAATACATGAAATGTTTTTAGAAATATTAAAGTTTTTATTAATCTACAATGTGCTCTTTGTTTCCTGTTTCTTGCAGAGAAACAGGAACTTTTATCATTTTTTATTTTTTGCCTTTATGTCTGTTACTCAATTTTTTCGTTTTCTGTAACCGAAATAAAAGTTGAGAAACTTCGGAAGAATCAAGAAACGTAAAAAGAAATGCGATTGCCGATAAAATGGCCGCAAAGAAGGAAAAAAGAATGAGGTAAAAAAATAAGAAACAGAAAGCAAAGAATACATTGTAGATTAAGCTTAAGAGATAGTTTTAGAAATGTCCCTCTTGTGTGAAAGTTGACTATTTGATCTGGGATTATGTACTTTCCCTTCGATATCTTCCCTTTCAACTCTTGGTCAAGAAAATACCTATTCATCAATTTCCGAAGGAAAAATTTCTTTTATCCGAATTCATGTCCCAATAAGTTTCTAACGATGTGTTTAATTTTAATATCTCGGTTCAACTTATTCTTCTAATTCTATAAAAAATAGAAAAAGATGAAGAACAAGTTGAACCAAGATTAAAGTTAGTCTACATTAAAACGGGCATCAGTCGAGTTTATTTATTTGTTTAGAATCGCGTTTATCCTCAGAGAGATCTCACCCCTCGAGATCTCTCAATGCAATCTTCGCTGTATCCTCGGGGGGTGGTATTCCTACGTAGTTGCGGGGTCGGCTGTCGTGGCGTTCGCGGGGCGAGGTTTTCTAGGATTTCAGGCGGTGTTGGGGAGGTGGCGAAATGGGAGGGCGGATGATAGAGAGGAGAGGGTGCAGGGTGGTACGTGCAGAGCGGCCCTTCCGACCCCTCGCGGCGTACGGCGGTACGTACCGTAGGAGAATCGATCTAAAACTAGGAGTCGCCGCAGTAATTGCTGGGAGGAAGCCAGTGTTACAATTCGCGGGGGCCTCTGTCGTATGCGCCAGTGAAATCTTAAATACACGCCTGTTAATCGCACGTACGCACGGCACGGCACGGTCGTCAGGCCAGGTACGTCCACGTCGACGGACGTACGTACGTCGCCGTAACCCCTCCTCGTCGCTCCTCGCCGTTCAATCGCCCTCTCTCTTCCACTGTCTAGTCTGTCCTGGCGGTACGGCAGCACAGGGGCGGCCGGCCGGGGGCGGCCGTGCTTTAATTGCGAGATACATATAACGGAGGGTGTTGTGCATTCCTCGCTCTCGTCTACCTCGCGTACGTACGTGCGAGCAAGTAGGACGGAGTGAGGCGCGGCGCCGCGGGTGCGACAAGAACGGCGAGGAGCAACCGTATGAAGAAGGGAAGATTCCACGGTCTGTCATCAGTGGTATAAGTCAACCAGCTAGCTAACCAGTAGCTACTACAGCTCGCCGCTATCCGACCAGTGAGAGTTCAACCAAGTAGACACCTAGACGGTCGGCCAAGCAAAGTGTCGCGCCCGTTAAAAAGAAAAAAAGAAGAAAGAGAAGGAGAAGAGAGGGACGGAGACTGTGCGTGAAGATAAGAGAGAGAAAGAGAGAGAGAGAGAGAGAAAGATAGAGAGAGAGAGAGAGAGAGAGAGAGAAAGAGAGAAAGACAGAGAGAGACACCTTGCGAGGGTGTACGCACGAGCAAGCTGGGCGGACAGCAGCGCGACCAGAGAGCAGCATCCTCCGATATATAATGCGACGTGCAACCTTCTTCCCTTTCGCCTTGGTGGTCGTTCCTTCGGAATAAAGCCGCGCGTTTGCTGCTGGGACGGTTTCTTACCTGCAGGGCTATGACGTAATGGCAAGAGAGGTACGCATTTCCTTCCGGCAGCTTCCTTCCTTTCTCACGCGCATGCAGCATCCACCCTGCAAATCACTTCTGCAATGGAGGAAGGGAGAGGAAAGGAGAATTGCTATTTATTTGTATCGTGAATGAGAGAAATCATTGATGTCGTGGGAGTTTTCTCTCCGCGGAGAGGACGCCTCTCGATGACCTATTTTCACGTGACCTCGTGACACCCGACGATCGGTCCTCAGTTTGCACCCCCCCCCCTCCCCTCAAAGTGCATCACCCTCTTGACAAGGCCGAACGGCCGAAGGGACGAGCCCTTTAGCCCGCTCCTTCCTTTCCGATAGATACGCGTTTCTCCATAAAGAGATGTTCGCACGAATGTTTCACTTTTTCGTTCATAGAATCGCGCGGCTTCATTTCGCTCTTTTGGGACATCTCTGTGTGCTTGCGAGATTGCCTTTTCTGAAACCTCCCGATTGCAGGATTCTGTTTGCTTGGAGTACCCTTCGCGATTAATCCTTGCCATAATTTTGAACGTCTGCCTTCGTAAGGATTTATTTCGCTTTATTGAGTTATGTCGTGTGTATATTCAGAATTCTATCTTGATTAAGATACCGAGAGGATTATATTTCTCGATAATTCCTGAAATTCCTAAACCCTCTCGCATCATTGTAATGGACACGGTTTTTCTTCATTTGTAATATGAAAGCAGTTGTAGAGATACTGCTGTTGTCCTAGTTTGTGGATATGTTCAGAGTTATGATTCAAGTCGTTTATAACAATCCACGATCTCTAAAGGGAATAATAAATAAAAAGGAACCATATTCGAATGTGTCTTTTAATAAATAAAGAATTGGATCTGGAATATTTAAGATTTTTCTCATTTATAATTCATATTTTCTTTTATTTTAAAGTAGCATTTCATCGTGATTCTTTGTGTTAATCAGTAATAATTCTTTCTATTGGCATATACTCTTCGTATATGTACATTTTTCTTAATAATTATTAATAATTATTTTTTAAGATAATTTTTTAAGATAATTATTATCTTAAAAGCATTGATTAATATTTATCTTTGTATATTTTCTAAAAACTTTTATTTATTTCTTTTAGTTCCTAAGTT